CTAAAAAGCCCCGAAATCATCTCAAGATAACCTTTTTTTAACAAGATTTTTCCCCCTTTTCGAAAGTTTCAGCATTGCTAGGAATACGAAGAAAATGTTTGCAAATTTATACTAAAAAATTTTGGCATCTTTCTTGGACATTTTGAAGCTTTTCCTGGTTTATATAATTTTTGTGTTGAAAAATCCTAACAAAAGTCGACTTTCTCCAGCGGTTGATAAATAAAAGTAAAATCCAAATTAACTTTTAAGCTTTGCCTGATCAGGATTCAAGATTCTTCCGGGTATTCCAAGAGTGAAGTTTTCTAAGACAAGGCTACGCTGATCTGCTTCATATTTTTTATAGTCATCCTTTCAAAATCATTTACAATGGGTTTGAGGAATGTGAAATATAGCTTATTGGCAGCATCAAACTGAAAATAGTTGCCTTACAACATACCACAAGGAGAAGAAACGATTTGTTAATGAGTTATTCAAGTATCCCACTGATCTAACAGCCGCCCTAGACTATTGTGCCTTGCCAATCATCGTGTTCCTGACAAAGGTATCAACTATAAGGGATCTTTCACCATCATTTATAAGTCTGTAAATCTCTAGATAAAATTATCCCCTGAATGAAGATCTCTGGAACCAACTGTAGCTCTCTTGTCACGAAGTCGATGCTGAAAGGTAATTCGTCAGATGCATGAGAACAGACCAAATGCAAGGAATGATCCACTCTCCCCCACGGGAGACATCTCCCGTCACGCAGGGTGCAGTCGCACCTCCACAGATCTCCAGTATCAGCTCTTGATACTGGTAATGGCTCAAAAGGGCCACCACTTACGGGCTATTCATGCCCGTGCCACTTCTTGGGTGGCTTAATCTTTATCAATCAATCCCCACTCTCCTCCACTCTCCCCCACACTCCCCCACTCACATACATTTGATAAGAAACAAATAAGGGATAACTTGATCAGTGTAAAGTGAGAGACGAGGTCTACACAGAGTTGATGTCCCGTCTGTGCAAGACGCCGCTTCAGATCAACTCCAATATAGCTAAAATTATCTTTGAGGTGTTGATACAAGGTTTCAAAGGTGACTGAAACTATTCACAACTAATAGTTGTGACTGAAACTATTCTCATAAACTTAGGTAAAATCCTACTCTGTTTAGCTTTATAATATCGAACACACACACAAAAAAACTATTTTTTTAGGGCTTAGATTGCTTGCATAGATATTTCCCGGGATGAAGTATTAATGACAATTAAGGTTGGGAGTACACACAGAAATCACAGGAGCGTGATACATCAAATGAACAAATCCACAAGGGCCTCAAATCCCTCATCACGGCCTTTGCGGATTTGTTCAGGGTTGGGAAGTCTATCGTCCCACGGGAGGATTACCTTGCGGTTACTTTTTCTTTCTACGGTTCCTAGGATCAACGTCCCCAGGGCTCTGTCTCTGACCAGGCCTCCTGCGGTTGGTGGTCTGGTCAAGCAGGCTGTTGGACGCGGCTGTCATTTACCTACATGACATTATATACATAAATAATAAGTCACTGACTTAATATTAATAGCCCAAATTACTCCAAAAAGTAGCACGTAGCTAGCTTACAAATTTAGGAGCGCTGTGTTCTCAAAAGTAGCGCAATTCGCTACTTTTAGCCCAGTCTGGCAACACTGGCCGCAAGGGTCGCCTGGGTCCCTCCACCCTTCTCCCTCTCATAAATTATAACGCAGAGCCTTCACCCATAATTCGTAGACCTCACTCGGGGTACCCAAAGACGGCGCTCCGTCACTGATTCTTTCCTCCGAGATCACAGCAAGTAAAGGAAAATAAATTTACTTTTAAATCCTTTAACGTTGTTTCAAGTGAATATCCCTACGCAAAGTAAGCCACAATAACCTGGCTGAACATGTACAGTCTAGTCTGACCCCACATATGAGCTCTAAGACAGCGACGTTTCGGATCGTCCTGTGGCAGGATTAATCAAGGATTAATCCTGTCTCCTTAATCAAGGATTAATCCTGTCTCCTTAATCAAGGATTAATCCTGTCTCCTTAATCAAGGATTAATCCTGTCTCCTTAATCAAGGATTAATCCTGTCTCCTTAATCAAGGATTAATCCTGTCTCCTTAATCAAGGATTAATCCTGTCTCCTTAATCAAGGATTAATCCTGTCTCCTTAATCAAGGATTAATCCTGTCTCCTTAATCAAGGATTAATCCTGTCTCCTTAATCAAGGATTAATCCTGGCACAATTTACGTTAATTTACGTAACACCTTACGAAAGCTGTACATCATTAATTATTCATGGCTGCAGTGTTTACATTTATTACACATTTTGCGAGCTTGAACATTTACATTCCAAGGTTGTTATGGCTATAAACAACTTCTGAGTGCTTCGGAGCTCAGTTGAATATAAACAAAGTCGCCATGATTGAGGAAAGATGCAAGGGTTTCGTAAATGGTTGAATAAATGCTTGGTGAACCCATTATCTTTATCTTGATTATCTTGATATGATTTCGGGGCTTTAGTGTCCCCGCGGCCCGGTCCTCGACCAGGCCTCCACCCCCAGGAAGATACCGTGCCACCTTTTGGGTGGCTTAATCTTCATCAATTATAAACAATACATGGGACTACTTAACTTCACCGTGTCCCTTCACAAGTAGCCAGCCCCCGTATACGATATCAACTTTCAGATAGCGCAAAGTCGGTATGGCTACCTCGCACACGGGAGGGATACAAGGACCAGACACGATGTGATCTCAGACAAGGCACGAGAGAAGGAATGGTATTGACCCTGCTAGGAGCCAGGGTCAATACGTTGTGTGTCACCGACTCGATAAAGCATAGGAGTGGAACGTCAGCTTCAATAGTCGTTCTATCGTGTTTGTGTTTCACAGAAGGTTAAGTCTGAAAAGCTTGGAGGGACCAAGCGCCGTATTTATTAAATTCAATTTCGAAAGAAATTTACATCTTATTAGGGTAAACACAAGAAAAAATGCCGTGGTTTATATATATATAGTGTCAGACCACGGAGGAAAATTGAAACAAGAATTTCCTTAAGTACTTTCGTATATTAATCCATCTTCAGAAGGAGTGAAGACTCCTTCTGAAGATGTATTAATATACGAAAGTACTTAAGGAAATTCCTGTTTCAATTTTCCTCCGTGGTCTGACACTGTCACATTTTTAATCACGTGTTTATTTTCGTGATATACACACACACACACACACACACACACATATATATATATATATATATATATATATATATATATATATATATATATATATATATATATATATATATATATATATATAACTGAAAACTCACACCCCAGAAGTGACTCGAACCCATACTCCCAGAAGCAATGCATCTGGTATGTACAAGACGCCTTAATCCACTTGACCATCACGACCGGACATAATGAGGTGATAGCCGAGGCTATTTGAACCACCCCACCGCCGGCACTCGGATAGTTATCTTGGGCATAGCATTTTACCAAATCACCTCATTCTTTGGGGCAACACGTGAGGATTTTTCGCATTTGTGTTCCTCACGTGTTGCCCCAAAGAATGAGGTGATTTGGTAAAATGCTATGCCCAAGATAACTATCCGAGTGCCGGCGGTGGGGTGGTTCAAATAGCCTCGGCTATCACCTCATTATGTCCGGTCGTGATGGTCAAGTGGATTAAGGCGTCTTGTACATACCAGATGCATTGCTTCTGGGAGTATGGGTTCGAGTCACTTCTGGGGTGTGAGTTTTCAGTTGCATATGTCCTGGGGACCATTCAGGCTTGTTCGCATATATATATATATATATATATATATATATATATATATATATATATATATATATATAATGTATAAATTGTAATTTCCGTGTTTTTTATCTAGCATTTTCATCAGCCATGACAACTGCAGATAGCAACAGCTGCAAATCCTGTCCCCACAGAAAGAAAGTCGTCTGCACTTGGGTACAACATCTAATCAGCCCACGATGATATCACTAATTACATCACACTGATGATGATATCACTAAATTCTATCACCAAGTCTCTGATATATAATGATTTACACTGAGTACGTCAATCCCAGCAGACCCCATCCAGTGCTTGCATTCTGCACCCCATTCCTTGCACCTCAAATATTTCATGCTAACATGGACGCACCGGAAAATATATATATATATATCTATATATATATATATATATATATATATATATATATATATATATATATATATATATATATATATATATATATATATATATATATATATATATACGCACTTTGCAAAGTCTATAGCCATAGCAAAGCTCCTGTGATTTTTTAAACCGAGGTCAAAATAAAGAAAAAGGCACGTTTACTCGAGTTATTTAAGGCGATTGGACGAGAAATACGAACGATTAGCGCGCGAAAAAAATAATACGAAGTGTGTAGCGCGCGAAAAAAATAATACGAAGTGTATAGCGCGCGAAAAAAATTGGAACTGGATAGCGCGCGAAAAAAAATACAAACTGTATAGCGCGCGAAAAAAATAGGAACTGTATAGCGCGCGAAAAAAAATACAAATTGTATAGCGCGCGAAAAAAATACAAACTATAGCGCGCGAAAAAAAATACAAATTGAATAGCGCGCGAAAAGCGTGACAGTCGGAGTTGCGTCATCTCGGCTGCGGATGTTAAACGCTCGCAGCAGACATGACCAAATATACACAAGTCTCGCCCCTCGAGATCATTATAGACTCAACGTGGTTTCACCCCAGAGATATTATTCACACCCCCGTATATAACTACGCTGTGATATAATTACATTAATACGATTATATAGCCTCGGCTCGTATCGGTACCGCTAGACTGCTCGAATGTAGCGGTAAATGTGGAGTGAAGCTGTCTGGAGAGCACGTGCTACTGCTGCCAGCCGTCCTAAAAATATTGATTGTCCCATTTATAACGCTAACGGCACTTGGAAGCTAATATAAACGACAAGAAATGACCGTTTCACCTACCTTTAAAATGAAACGCGTAGAGGGAGGAAGAATATGGTGGGTATAGTACACAAATCAATGCACAGTCAAGACTAGAACTGCGGGAGCGGTGCGACGTGTCTCCTCAGCGTCAGACTGTCGTCTGCTAGACTCGCGGCTCCTCGCTACACTACACCTCTCGCCCGCACAGTTGCCAGCTACACCCACACATTACACCTCGCCAAGAAGATATCCAAACTATAATTCCAAGATATCCAAATCTATCATTCCTTCGTCATTCTACAACACGATTCATACTTTTAATCATAAGCTGATTGGTAGCCACTTGTTGGTAAATTGTCTTCAAGTTTGTGGGTGTTTTTCTTACTTTCATATTTAAGAAACTAATATTATTTTAAGGGTAAGAGTGCATGGTTGCAATTGACAGCTGTGGTGTGCACTGGTCCGCGTGGCTCTGCATGCAGCTGAGGTCTCGTTAATGTATAACACTACAGGAGTATATATATATATATATATATATATATATATATATATATATATATATATATATATATATATATATATATATATATATATATATATATATATATATTAAATCGGCTTCTGTCCCGAATTTCAGCCAGCTTGATTGTCTACATGGTATTAAACCTTATTTTTCATATGAAAATTATTATTTAGCGAAGATTTACTGTTGAGTCAACGCCAAAGGTTCAACGGTGACAACATTGAATGTTTCTAGAGCATCTTGGGCCCACTGAGAGAGAGAGAGAGAGAGAGAGAGAGAGAGAGAGAGAGAGAGAGAGAGAGAGAGAGAGAGAGAGAGAGAGAGAGAGAGAGAGAGAGAGAACAGGAAGGTGGGATGAAGGGAGAGAAAATGAGAGAGAGAGAAAATGGATGGGAGAGAGGCAGGGGAAACGGCTGCAACTCTGGAGGTTGATGTGCACTCCAAAATATGCTTCTACAAAACATTGAACACACTACTAATACTCTGATTAGGCATCTTAGCTTCGGTTTACGGGCTATTCATGCCCGTGCCACCTCCTGGGTGGCTTAATCTTCATCATCATCTTAGCTTCACGGGAGACATCTCCCGTCACGCAGGGTGCAGTCGCACCTCCACAGATCTCCAGTATCATCTATTGATACTGGTAATGGCTCAAAAGGGCCTACACTTACGGGCTATTCATGCCCGTGCCACTTTTTGAGTGGCTTAATCTTCATTAATCAATCAATCTTAGCTTCATTTGCAAGGAGGAGGAGGAGGAACTGATCAACACCACTCACGACACCAAGATACCATTCTGAATCACCAGGACATCGTAAAGGCACGCCACTCATCGGAAATAACGCCGAAAAAATACACGCTCCTCATGAACATATTTTCAATGCAATATATTCTTGAAAGACATCATACTTTTGTAACATTAGGACATAAGGATCGCATACACGCTCTCTCACACAGTCACAGCCCCGCTCCTGTGCCAGGTAAGTCCACTACGGGCTCACCATAGCCCGTGCTACTTGCCCCGCTCCTGTGCCAGTTAAGTCCATTACGGGCTCACCATAGCCCGTGCTACTTGCCCCGCTCCTGTGCCAGGTAAGTCCATTACGGGCTCACCATAGCCCGTGCTACTTGCCCCGCTCCTGTGCCAGGTAAGTCCACTACGGGCTCACCATAGCCCGTGCTACTTGCCCCGCTCCTGTGCCAGGTAAGTCCACTACGGGCTCACCATAGCCCGTGCTACTTGCCCCGCTCCTGTGCCAGGTAAGTCCACTACGGGCTCACCATAGCCCGTGCTATGTGGAACATTTTGTTCCGAGTAGCTGAATCTATAACAACAACAATGCTATCTCATTATACTTTAATATACTATTCCTTACACACCTTTTAAAGTGAGAGGAAATGTATATGTTTATCTCTCAGAATGTTTGGTAATATGTTTATTGTTTGTGATGTGTGTCTATGTATGTATTAACACGATGTACTGAACGGGGTGAGAATAGCTTGAGCTGCCTCATCCCTTTGTGTGTATTTTACCTCAATAAACTTATTTCAATTTCAATTTTAAAGTGAGAGGATTAATTCGTTAGCTCGCCAGCTTCTCGTTAATCTAATCGCCGAAGCTGCATTTATATCTGAAATTCTATCCCCCAATACTCTTTAAGTTCAATTTCATTCTCGTTATCTCAATCTTAGCGTTTTGCGGCGTCATAAGATTATTCTCGTGACTCATGGATAATGAAGATACCTGGTTGATACCTGGTTGATGGGGTTCTGGGAGTTCTTCTACTCCCCAAGCCCGGCCCGAGGCCAGGCTTGACTTGTGAGAGTTTGGTCCACCAGGCTGTTGCTTGGAGCGGCCCGCAGGCCCACATATACCTGGTTGATGGGGTTCTGGGAGTTCTTCTACTCCCCAAGCCCGGCCCGAGGCCAGGCTTGACTTGTGAGAGTTTGGTCCACCAGGCTGTTGCTTGGAGCGGCCCGCAGGCCCACATATACCTGGTTGATGGGGTTCTGGGAGTTCTTCTACTCCCCAAGCCCGTCCCGAGGCCAGGCTCGACTTGTGAGAGTTTGGTCCACCAGGCTGTTGCTTGGAGCGGCCCGCAGGCCCACATATACCTGGTTGATGGGGTTCTGGGAGTTCTTCTACTGCCCAAGCCCGGCCCGAGGCCAGGCTCGACTTGTGAGAGTTTGGTCCACCAGGCTGTTGCTTGGAGCGGCCCGCAGGCCCACATACCCACCACAGCCCGGTTGGTCCGGCACTCCTTGGAGGAATAAATCTAGTTTCCTCTTGAAAATGTCCACGGTTGTTTCGGCAATATTTCTTATGCTTGCTGGGAGGACGTTGAACAACCGCGGACCTCTGATGTTTATACAGTGTTCTCTGATTGTGCCTATGGCACCTCTGCTCTTCATTGGTTCTATTCTACATTTTCTTCCATGTCGTTCACTCCAGTACGTTGTTATTTTACTGTGTAGATTTGGTACTTGGCCCTCATTTTTACCGTACCTGAGTACCTGGAATTTATCACTGTTAAACATCATGTTATTTTCTGATGCCCAGTCGAAAACTTTATTAATATCAGCTTGAAGTTTTTCAATGTCCTCAGCCGAGGTAATTTTCATACTGATTTTTGTGTCATCTGCAAAGGATGATACGAAGCTGTGACTTGTATTTTTGTCTATATCTGATATGAGAATAAGGAAAAGCAGCGGTGCAAGGACTGTACCCTGAGGTACAGAGCTTTTCACTGCACTTGGACTAGATTTTATATGGTTGACAGTTACTCGCTGAGTCCTGTTTGACAGAAAACTGAGTATCCAGCGTCCTACTTTACCGGTTATTCCCATTGACTTCATTTTGTGTGCTATCACGCCATGGTCACATTTATCGAAAGCCTTTGCGAATTCCGTGTATATCACATCAGCATTCTGTTTCTCTTCTAATGCCTCAGTGACTTTGTCGTAGTGCTCAAGTAGCTGTGAGAGGCACGATCTTCCCGCTCGAAATCCATGTTGGCCTGGGTTGTGAAGGTCATTGGTCTCCATGAAATTGGTGACCTGACTCCTAATCACTCTCTCAAATACTTTTATGATGTGCGATGTTAGTGCAACTGGTCTATAATTTTTTGCCAATGCTTTGCTCCCTCCCTTGTGTAGAGGGGCTATGTCTGCTACTTTAAGTGCATCTGGTATCTCCCCCGTGTCCAAGCTCTTCCTCCACACTATACTGAGTGCCTGTGCTACCGGCACTTTGTATTTCTTTATAAATATTGAATTCCATGAGTCTGGACCTGGGGCCGAGTGCATGGGCATGTTTTCAATTTCTTTTTCAAAATTTAGTGCGCTCGTGTTTATATCAGTTATATTTACAGGGGTTTGAATATCCCGCATAAGAGATGAATAGTATTTTTAATATATATTTTGTCTCAGTATTTACTAAAGTCAGTATTTACTATTGTCAGTGTCAAACACGTCTGCCTCCTTCCTTGTCAGTGTCATACATAAACTCCTTCCTTGTCAGTGTCATACATAAACTCCTTCCTTGTCAGTGTCATACATAAACTCCTTCCTTGTCAGTGTCATACATAAACTCCTTCCTTGTCAGTGTCATACATAAACTCCTTCCTTGTCAGTGTCATACATAAACTCCTTCCTTGTCAGTGTCATACATAAGTTCCTCCTTCCTTGTCAGTGTCATACACGTCTTCCTCCTTCCTAATCAGTGTCATACATAAACTCCTTCTTCGTTGTCAGTATTAAACACATGGTATAATGTTTCGTACCAATTATAAGCCTCGACAAGACAGGTCATCACCCTAGTGGGTACAATACCCAAGAACAACGTCAATTAAACTTCAATTGACTTCAATTCAACGCCTTCAACGCTGAATGGCCGTTGATAACCTTGACTCAACGTCGACCCAACGCCACAACTGGATACTGCGTCCCATGGTTCCGTCCCCTGACTCTGGGGGATTAGAATTAGGGATTAGAATGGGGGATTATTAGATCTTAATAAAGATTAAACCAACCAAAAGGTGGCACGGGCATGAATAGCCCTAAATGCCCGAAATAAATGGCCGAAATGCTATGGTTCTAGTGGCTTTAGGTATTGTATGTACTATCTCTATCTTTAAATGCGTCATTATGTATGTAGCTCAATGGATGTACCTTTACCTGAATAAAAGATCTAAATCTAAAAATCTAAATCTAAAGATCTAAATCTAAAAATCTAAATCTAAAGATCTAAATCTAAAGATCTAAATCTAAAAATCTAAATCTAAAAATCTAAATCTAAAAATCTAAATCTAAAAATCTAAATCTAAAGATCTAAATCTTAAGATCTAAATCTTAAGATCTAAATCTAAAGATCTAAATCTAAAGATCTAAATCTAAAGATCTAAATCTAAAGATCTAAATCTAAAAATCTAAATCTAAAAATCTAAATCTAAAAATCTAAATCTAAAAATCTAAATCTAAAAATCTAAATCTAAAAATCTAAATCTAAAAATCTAAATCAAAAAATCTAAAAATCTAAATCTAAAAATCTAAATCTAAAAATCTAAATCTAAAAATCTAAATCTAAAAATCTAAATCTAAAAATCTAAATCTAAAAATCTAAATCTAAAAATCTAAATCTAAAAATCTAAAGATCTAAATCTAAAGATCTAAATCTAAAAATCTAAATCTAAAAATCTAAATCAAAAAATCTAAATCTAAAAATCTAAATCTAAAAATCTAAATTTAAAAATCTAAATTTAAAAATCTAAATCTAAAAATCTAAATCTAAAAATCTAAATCTAAAAATCTAAATCTAAAGATCTAAATCTAAAGATCTAAATCTAAAGATCTAAATCTAAAGATCTAAATCTAAAGATCTAAATCTAAAAATCTAAATCTAAAAATCTAAATCTAAAAATCTAAATCTAAAAATCTAAATCTAAAAATCTAAATCTAAAGATCTAAATCTAAAGATCTAAATCTAAAGATCTAAATCTAAAGATCTAAATCTAAAAATCTAAATCTAAAAATCTAAATCTAAAAATCTAAATCTAAAATCTAAATCTAAAAATCTAAATCTAAAAATCTAAATCTAAATCTAAAAATCTAAATCAAAAAATCTAAATCTAAAAATCTAAAAATCTAAATCTAAAAAATCTAAATCTAAAAATCTAAATCTAAAAATCTAAATCTAAAAATCTAAATCTAAAAATCTAAATCTAAAAATCTAAATCTAAAAATCTAAATCTAAAAATCTAAATAAAAAAATCTAAATCTAAAAATCTATATCTAAAAATCTAAATCTAAAAATCTAAATCTAAAAATCTAAATCTAAAAATCTAAATCTAAAAATCTAAATCTAAAAATCTGGGTGACACATCTGGTACAGACCAGGCGCTGGGTGACACATCTGGTGCAAACGAGGCGCTGGGTGACACAACTGGTGCAGACGAGGCGCTGGGTGACACATCTGGTGCAGACGAGGCGCTGGGTGACACATCTGGTGCAGACGAGGCGCTGGGTGACACAACTGGTGCAGACGAGGCGCTGGATGACACATCTGGTGCAGACGAGGCGCTGGGTGACACATCTGGTGCACACGAGGCGCTGGGTGACACATCTGGTGCAGACGAGGCGCTGGGTGACACAACTGGTGCAGACGAGGCGCTGGGTGACACAACTGGTGCAGACCAGGCGCTGGGTGACACATCTGGTGCAGACGAGGCACTGGGTGACACATCTGGTGCAGACGAGGCGCTGGGTGACACAACTGGTGCAGACCAGGCGCTGGGTGACACATCTGGTGCAGACGAGGCGCTGGGTGACACAACTGGTGCAGACCAGGCGCTGGGTGACACATCTGGTGCAGACGAGGCGCTGGGTGACACATCTGGTGCAGACGAGGCGCTGGGTGACACATCTGGTGCAGACGAGGCGCTGGGTGACACATCTGGTGCAGACGAGGCGCTGGGTGACACATCTGGAGCAGACGAGGCGCTGGATGACACATCTGGTGCAGACGAGGCGCTGGGTGACACATCTGGTGCAGACGAGGCGCTGGATGACACAACTGGTGCAGACGAGGCGCTGGGTGACACATCTGGTGCAGACGAGGCGCTGGATGACACAACTGGTGCAGACGAGGCGCTGGGTGACACATCTGGTGCAGACGAGGCGCTGGGTGACACAACTGGTGCAGACGAGGCGCTGGGTGACACATCTGGTGCAGACGAGGCGCTGGATGACATATCTGGTGCAGACGAGGCGCTGGGTGACACATCTGGTGCAGACGAGGCGCTGGATGACATATCTGGTGCAGACGAGGCGCTGGGTGACACATCTGGTGCAGACGAGGCGCTGGGTGACACATCTGGTGCAGACGAGGCGCTGGATGACACAACTGGTGCAGACGAGGCGCTGGGTGACACAACTGGTGCAGACGAGGCGCTGGATGACACAACTGGTGCAGACGAGGCGCTGGGTGACACATCTGGTGCAGACGAGGCGCTGGATGACATATCTGGTGCAGACGAGGCGCTGGATGACATATCTGGTGCAGACGAGGCGCTGGATGAGACATCATCACAGATACGACACCACAGGTAACGAAGCAACATGCCGAGCACATAGAGAATCGCTGAAGGAGGAAGTAACACCTAGCTTCACTCCTCGGGTCATCTCTATGTCCGTGTTTAGAGAGGAAGTGTCAATGGACGTGTGCAGGTCTCCTAAATCTTTCCGAGGAAGGCGGTTCAAAGACTCAAGGGAGAAGACCTCAGGAATGGGAAGAACCGAGTACGAGGCGCAGGAACGAGACCTCAGGAATGGGAAGAACCGAGTACGAGGCGCAGGAACGAGACCTCAGGAATGGGAAGAACCGAGTACGAGGCGCAGGAACGAGACCTCAGGAATGGGAAGAACCGAGTACGAGGCGCAGGAACGAGACCGCGTGATGAACTTAGGGCAGTAGATCCATCCAGCAGTGTGTGTGTGTGTGTGAAACTGGAAGGAGTTGCCAAAGCTACGTTACGTGTCATAGATGTGGAATGCGCACGAAAAGTAGAAGAGTGAAGAACGCATCGCTGCTTTGCATGCGCAAGCAAGGCACGACACCCAACAGGCAAGCAATCGTTCATCGGCGGTGAAGCCGGAACGAGGCTTCACCGCCTTAGAATTTCCTTAGCATTCAAGATGCTAAGGAAAAAACCTTTCGACGAACAAAAAAAATAAAGAGACTCGATTGATGTCTTTTGAAGAAAAAGATAGAACAAAAAAGACTCGATGGATCAAACGGTTTGAACGCATCGCAGCCAACGCAGATTGGTCAAATGAACAAATCCACAAGGGCCGTGACGAGGATTCGAACCTGCGTCCGAGAGCATCCCAGACGCTGCCTTGATCGACTGAGCTACGACATGGTTAAAAGAGTTGAAACCGAAGTTCTACTGAACTTACTGGATCCTGCAGCTTCTCCGAGACACAAACCACGGTTTTACACAACTCCCCCATGCACCCGAGCGAAGGAGGAAGATCAGCGTGGGCGGGGCGTACTCTTGCTACGCGACGTTAGGGTAGACCTTTTGAGATCCACCACGGTCTGGGATATCATCAACACACAATATTAAAATATTGGACAGAATATCACAAACCACATCATCAAATTCGCATACGACACAAAGATTTATGGTAAAGTGGGAAATGATAAATGATAATTGTCCAAAAGGCTATGCGGCTTTGTGAATTTGTTAGGTCGGTGAGATTTTCATTAGATATTTGTTTAAGTATTTTCTTTGTCATTGCTAATGACATCGCATCAGGCTTGGATACCCATGTGCATGGGAAATAGGCTTATAGGTTCCGGAAGATGAGAGGAAATGTCAACACTGTGGAGAAATGCCCGACAGACCACTGGAACTTTGTCTAACACAGTGCACAGTTACAAACCCATTAAGATTTTAACTTAGATTCAACAGAGCAGAAGAAGTTGTTAAACACATATGGCAAAATCTTACTGAAGCGATCATACGAGTCATAAATACTCATACTCCGCCCAAGTAAAACAGAAACAAGCAACACTTAGTGGGCCAGCCAGAGGCTTAGGGCCCGCGCAAGAATATCCCTAAAAAAAAAAAAAAAAAAAAAAACTGCTAATGAAACACCCATATCAATTTCTACCACTGGTTCTCTGCAGGCTGCCTTTGCAAGCATATCAACAGTGTCATGCCTTGAGATGCCAACATGTGATGGTATCCATACGAATTTAATATCAAATCTGCATTGTTAGTCAGTAGACAAAATGTTAGCGCTAAGCGCTAAGTAAATATTAGCGTTAGCTGCTAAGAAAATGATTGTGTCAAGCGCTAACTTAGCGGTCCCCTGGCGGCGGGGATATGGCATCACTACCATAACAACAACAAACATGGCCGGTGTTTCCTCCACGGCGATGCTGGTCCACACGCGCTCATTGACCACCTCCTCTGTTGCACTAGGAAAAAGGAATTTTAGAAAATTCCTCATGTATGGGAAGCGAGGGACCAGGCAACTCAAAGAGGAAATGATGCATAAACCAGAGTTACATAGAGAGTTAGAGGAGGTCTTTGGTAAGGTCGTGGGTTTTCTTTCCATCAATTTAATTATAATCTTTTAGTTTATAAAAAGTGTAGTGATTATTGTGCACATTTTTAGTGATATAAATGTATCTGTGCCTACTTATGTTCTACAGGTTGTGGTAAAAATAATTATATATATATATATATATATATATATATATATATATATATATATATATATATATATATATATATATATATATATATATATATATAAAATAAATGTTTAATCAGGTAAGGTACATACAAGAGATTTTACAAAAATTGATAGATTTATAGATAGAGCTAGTACATACAATGCCTAAAGCCATACATACATACAATGTATAGTACAGTACATACAATGCCTAAAATTCATTGTGCTGGGGGACAGACAGCCAGTGAGGCCCGTCCTAAGGTTTCCCAACGTCAAGAATCTGTCGTACTAAAGTGCCCTTATCCTAACCTACCAGAGGACCCAAAACAGAAAACGGGACAGTATGATAATTTTGCGAGCCGCTATCATTTTCTTGTATGACAATTTTTGTCTTTAGGTAAAGATTGTCTCAAAATGCGATGCTCTATTAGGAAGATGGGTTGGCTAGTGTGTACATATATTTATTTATATACAAGAAAGTACATTGAGTTGTGAAAGTACATACATTGGTGATTGAGTGTTACATTCTTGCAAAAGCTACTATCATACACAGCATTTTGGGCAGGTTCTTAAGCTAACCAGTAAATGGAATAGTAGATACATTGTAATAGAATTTGAATTCAACATAATAAATAGAGTATAAATTGATAGAATACATTATTCTGATGAAGTTGCGTGTCTTTAGTTCTAAATTGGGTGGGTGCATAGAAGATAGTGTCAGCAGCACAAGGTGGGAAGCTATGAAGATGAAATTAGGTACTTTTTGGTTCTACTTTTGAATACAGTCTTGATTGGACAGTTTTTAATTCATTATGGAGTAAGTTCCATTTAATGAGTCCCTATTTATTTGCATGGAATGTTTGCACATATTTTATTTGACTAGGATTATCAGAGAGAGAGATAGGTCCCCTCCAAGGTAAAAAAAAAAAAATTGACCCTTCCCAGGATGCAACCCCACAGTAAGCTGACTAACTCTTGGGTATCTATTTATTGCTAGGTGAATAAAAGCATTAGGTGATAAGAAATGTGCCCAACCATTTCTGTCCTTCCTGGGACTTGAACCTGGACTTCCGAATTGTGAGTCAAGAACAAACCCAACTGTACTATCTCTTAGAGACCTCTAGGGACCCTCTATGCCCAGTGTATCATTGCACTTTATAAAAGCAAGTTAATATCAATAAAAAATTGAAAATAAAATGTTCAATGTGTGTTCTTAAAATGTGATGCAAGATGTGTGTGTGGTGCTGGGCTGACCTTGGATCATGGTTATGAGATTATTACTCTCACCAGGCTTACTTTTAGTGGTTCCAATTTTTTTTTTTTTTTTTTTTTTAGATATATACAAGAGTTGTTACATTCTTGTAGAGCCACTAGTATGCGTAGCGTTTCGGGCAGGTCCCTGGAATACGATCCCCGCCGCGAATAATCGTTGTTACAACCAAGTACACATTTTACTGTTGCGTTAAACAGAGGCTACAGTTAAGGATTTGCGGCCAGTAAATCCTCCCCGGCCAGGATACGAACCCCTGGCAAAGCGCTCGCGGAATGCCAGGCGAGTGTCTTACCACTGCACCACGGAGACTGTAAACCGTGGTGCTACAAAATGCTACATAAACTTGTAGATTGTTATATATAATATGTGTGTATATACACTGGACTTGTGCCATATGTGTGTATATACTGGACTTGTATATATGCTGCACTTGTGATCCTGTGGTCCTGGGTTCGATCCCAGGCGCCGGCGAGAAACATTGGGCAGAGTTTCTTTCACCCTATGCCCCTGTTACCTAGCAGTAAAATAGGTACCTGGGTGTTAGTCAGCTGTCACGGGCTGCTTCCTGGGGGTGGAGGCCTGGTCGAGGACCGGGCCGCGGGGACACTAAAAAGCCCCGAAATCATCTCAAGATAACCTCAAGATACTGTAGTATAATAATAGTAAAAATAGTCCTCATATCCTAGCTCCTTGGTCTCGTATCCCTAGCAAGTGTTATGTACTGTAGTCATAATGGCATAGCACTTTACCTTGATCATTATTTTATTACATCTGTTAGAGCAATAATATCTATTGTACCTGTGCAAACAAGTGCACTTAAATCATCTATTTTATTTCTTAATACATCTACTGTTGTGCAGTGCACTTTTAGGGTATTATGTTTATGCCTGTGTACAAACTATTATTTTTACCCAATATTTTTTCCTTCTACTAGAACAAAATTGATATACAGTATGATCCTTTTATTACTTCTGATATATAAGCTTTCCTTAATAATATAAATGTCTTCAGTTCTTGTGTTAATACTTTGTGACAACTTGCTTTCTATTCTTAACTTAGATCAATTCTTAATCCTCTATTTAACTCCTTTTATTTATTCCCTATGTACTTATCTGCCATAATTTTGCCTCACATTTTATCGTCTTTGTCAGTCACCATTCTTTGTAGGTTTTCTGTTTCCTTTCTTTATTGATTCTTTCCTTTCCACTTCAACCGTCTTTGACAGTCTCCGTGGTGTAGTGGTAAGACACTCGCCTGGCGTTCCGCGAGCGCTATGTCATGGGTTCGTATCCTGGCCGGGGAGGATTTACTGGGCGCAATTCCTTAACTGTAGCCTCTGTTTAACGCAACAGTAAAATGTGTACTTGGATGAAAAAACGATTCTTCGCGGCAGGGGATCGTATTCCAGGGACCATAGGATTAAGGACTTGCCCGAAACGCTACGCGTACTAGTGGCTGTACAAGAATGTAACAACTCTTGTATATATCTCAAAAAAAACCTTCCTAGCCTACTCAGTTCTTACTAGTTCTTATTTCTTTTGATTCTACTTTTGTTATCCTAACCTTATCTAGGTATTTCATAGACTTAAATTTTCTAAGAAATACTTAAGAAATACTTAAATTAACCCAACCGGGCTAAACTTCTCAGGTGGCAGTTTCTGCCGCACCCTTTGTGCCACCGGTTCCATCTCTGTGACTGCCTTGTGAGTAGCTCTGGTCTCCTGGGACAAATGAGTGGGCACTGGTTATAAAATTTTTGATCATTTGTTTATATAGTTTGGGGAGTTCTATCACCATTTTCGAGCCTACAGGTTTTGGAGGCAGCAAGATGTGGTTTGTTTTGACTCGCTGACATTCTGGGTGCCTTCCTTGGTGGTGGCGTAACTTAATATTTCAATGACACAGCTCCCTTCGCCTCTGTAAAGGGACCAGGTTCTGGCTCTGGGTCCCCAGTAGGCCAGAGAACTCTGTGACTGATGGCACCTGGTTGTTAGCACCGACATCGAAGATGGTAGCTTCTGGGAGCCATTGGGGCTCTCCCAGAAACTGATGTTTCATTACATTCTTCTATAGTCCAAAGGTTAAAAGATGTATTTATATAATTTCCTATATATCGTGAACAATGTACTGTATATGTTTGCTTGCTTCTTGTTTAGTATTAAGTGTTTACCTCATCAAACCCATAAACTTATTTCAATTCCAATTTCAATTTCATCAAACCTTTAAACAACCTAACTATTATTTTAAGTTAAGGCTGAATCACTTTCCTTATTAGTAGTCTTATTAAATTTACATACTCTGACAATTATTGAACCTCTGTATATTATTATTTTGTAAAATTTTTGAATAAATTATCATTTTAATATTATTATTACAAAAAAGTGGAATATCTGATATGTATGTTTTTTTAGCTACACATGACCACCTCCACGTCTAATCACACTATTCCTGACCTCGTTCCTGATTGCTATATTTCCTGCTTACAGACCAAAATTTATACGTCCTCTTTTAAAGTGTTATTGTACGTGAATTTTCACCTGCAAGACATTTTATAATAAACCAGGTACAGAACATGTAGAACGTGCAGTGCATGTATGTACAGGAAAGTGTTGACCAGACCACACACTAGAAGGTGAAAGGACGACGACGTTTCGGTCCGTCCTGGACCATTTTCAAGTCGATTGTGAATGGTCCAGGACGGACCGAAATGTCGTCGTCCCTTCACCTTCTAGTGTGTGGTCTGGTCAACATACTTTAGCCACGTTATTGTGACTCATCGCCTGCATACAGGAAAGTGTGTATACATCTCCATATACTGTACTGTACATGCATATCAAATTTGTATAATGACCCTATTTACCAATGTATGCCAATTATTCCTTGTAACCATCTTTCAGAATATAACACAGTATATCTTCATGGTTATGAGAGAGAGATGAATGAGTAATACTGTAGTCTTACCATTCTTTCCTTTCTTTTCAGACCGAGGGGTACGACCAATTGGAATGAAGATTGGAAACAAATTTAAGATAATTCCAGAAATGGTTCCTGAAATTATTGTTCCTGACCTGGAAGGATTTGAGGTAGGTCTTAAAACAACTTGGAAAAGTGAGGTATGGATCACCTCTGTCACCCATACTCTATATTTAGTATTTCACACCAAAAAGTAGATTTAGCAGGCTAATATATTTTTGTTTAATCAGTGTTTCAGTAGGGGATTGAACCTTGTTTATTCCTGGATCGGGGTTGTATCTGGATGAGGTTCTGGGGTTCATCCATTCCCCAAACCTGGTCCAGGGCCAATCTTGACTTCGAAGCTTGGTCTAACATGCTGTTGCCTAAGGCAGCAACAGCATGTTAGACCATAACAGAATATGTATATCACGGTTGGTCTGGAATTTCTTTCATAAAACTGTCCAGTTTTTTCTTGACCTTCATTTTTGTTCCAGCAATATTTCTTATACTTGCTGGGAGGATATTGAATAACCGTGGACCTCTGATTTTCATGCAGTGTTCTCTGATTGTGCCTATTGCACCTCTACTCTTCATTGGCTCTATACTGCATTTACTTCCATATTGTTCACTCCAGTATGTTGTTACTTTACTGTGCAGATTTGGAACTTGGCCCTCCAATATCTTCCATGTACAGTATGTATTATTTGATATCTATCTGGCCTCCTTTTCTAGAGAGTACATTTTGAGAGCTTTGAGACAATCCCACTCATCTTTATTATGTCCGTGCATGCTGTATATGTTCTCTGTGTTCCCTCTATTTCATCTCCTGCTTTGAAGGGCAAAGTGAGTATCAAGCAGTAATTAAGGTGGGACAGCACAATTGATTTGCATAGTATGAGCTTTGTGATAGGATCACTGGATTTAAAGATTCTTGTCAACCATCCAACCTAAATATGTTAAATTTCTTGAAATTTTATTGAATGAATAGACACCATAAGATGACTTTCCTATCCAAGTTTCAATACTGTAAATTAAAAAACAAGTTAATTACTGCAAGAAAATGGCAACATAGCAAAAACTTGAAAAGTACTGTATATATATTTTGATCAGTTGGAAATCTATGGATATTTACTGTCTAAACTTGATAATTATCAAGGGTGACTTAGTAAAATTTGTTTTATTGCTCACCAAACAATATTTTAATGCCTAAAACATGTGTTTGAAAAGCCAAAATATTACACAGTATTAAACGGTGTCTTTTTCATAACTTTATAGAGCTATGAACTTACAGTAATACATTAAACTGGCCCCAAAAAACTTTAATTTGAACTTTTATTAGCATACCTTCTCATTGTGTTACAAGTTATAAAAGAAACCCACACACTAAATTTCAGTAAAATCAAATAATATTTAATGCTTCTGCCAGATGACGGAAATTTAGATCAACACGTTATAAATGCAGTATTTCCGCACCATCCAAGAGGTAAATAATTCAGTGAGCGCAGCAGAATGATCTATCTGATAAACATGTGAACACAGGATATTATGTTATTGTTTACCTCTTGGATGGTGTGGAAATACTGTATTTATAACATATTGATCTAAATTTCAATTGTCTGGCAGTACAGTAGTATTAAATATTATTTAATCTTGGTGAAATTTAGTGTTTGTTTTTTACAACTTTTAACACAATGAGAGGGTATGCCACTCAAACATTTTTTGAGTCAGTGCAATATAATATGTATAATTTGAGATTCGCTCAGAAATTGAAGGTTGAATATGTAAAACTTCATTTTCGAGTAAAATGTGTTCAAAGATTATGCTGCTAATAGATGAGGTAGTTCATGATCCATTTCCATCAAATTTTAAATGCTAATGGGTGGGGATGTATCCTTGAATGTAAGAAAATTTCAGTCAAATCACCTGAGAAACAATGGAGAAAAATGTTACGAAACAGAAACAAAATAAAATGCATAATTTGGGTTGCAATGCCATCTGTACAGTATGTAATTGTTTATGTACACATTATTAATATTTGTTACTGCATATATTTGGTATCCCCATGACAAATTAGCACAATAGAAAATTCTTAATCATTATAATGGGCAAGAAGCATGTCTTCTTAAGAGGCGATATAGGGGTCCTAGTACACGCTGCCACATCCTTCCTCATGTGATGACTCTGGTGTGTCCTCTGGTGAATGTGCAGTATGCATAATGCTCGTCAGCAGTATTACACGTGACAGGTGAATATACAATACATATACATAATGCTTATCAGCTGTATTACACATGACTGTACACAACTTTGGGTTGGGCGAGCTACACACATAACTGCTTGTTTTTATCTCCCTTCTTTCTCCACTCTACTAAGTGTTAGACTTAATAGAGTCTAAACACTCTATTAAGTGTTAGAGTACACAGTTGGTGTGCCAAGGAGCACAGATCTTCCCTCTGTGAATGCTATGAAGCAACTGACATGAGCTGCCTTGAACTACTTTCATGGATATAGATGCCATCAAACACCATATACATTAAAAAAACAAAAAACAGTTTATTACATGAAAACAAGGTGATTTAGAGAATACACAAAGAGCACATGTTTTTCTCATGTGGCTGCTCCCCATATATATGTATGTATGTATAGAATTATGCTCATAAACTCACCTACTGTATGTTTCATATCTACATTCATAATTTAATTTTTCATATGTACAGTACTGTATTTAATTGTACATCTGGAATCAAAAGGAAAGTGGGTGCCTCTCCTAGGTCTGATGTTCGGGTCGCCACCTGGTGGTGGTAGTCAGAGGTAGTTTATGCTTGGCCTTGCTTACAGTCGTGTTTGGTGATTCGGTGTTACATAACATTATTGGAATCATAATGAATATTTTGATGCCTCTCAGTGGTGGGTTGATCTCTGATCCATATAACCACCCTACACCATTGAGAGGACAAGGCGGTTTGTAAAGGTACTGTACCTGTCGTTGGTAAGTTGAGATACACTGGGAGCTTGGCGTATTCACAGTCTCTTTTTCCATACCAGTGACACGAAGTAGCGGGAGTTAACGAGGGGGTGCCAGGGCAGAGCTGCTTGATGCTTTGTTTATAATTTTAGTGTTAAAGGAAGAGCTTACATTGTGTGAATTTAGAGCTGTGTGAATCTGTGCAAATTGAGGCTGTTTTTTGTTGTACCTTAACATGATCAGACCTATTTTGGGGCAAATTGTTATATTAAAACAAATCATGAAAGTAAAAACGACACATTTTACACTCTTATCAACTAACTTCTTTCTCCCATTTCCTTCCTATTTTCACTATTTTTACATACTAAATCAATTTGACTTTATTTTTTTTATTTAAATTGATATATTTCAGCTAAAGCCATACGTGTCTTACAAAGTACCAGATGTTATACAAAGCGAATTTGGACCACAAGATTTATTTTATGCAGTATATAGTGAAAAGATAACAGAAGATTTCAAGAATGGCAAGTTAAATGAAGACGGCAGCCCAGTTGAACCATCAGAGATGGAACTCTTGACAGCAGATGAGGCTAAGAAAAAGGCACTCTCCATTGGGTCAGATATATTTTAGGTAAATTTTTGGAATTGGTAAAGCATGTCATATACTTTATTTCTGAACTACTGTATGCAATTTATGCCTTTCTGTGTCTTTAATATAGTCTAACCTCCATTCTTGTTATAATGATGTAAAATTTTGCTCATTCATGTGTACATAGTGCAGTGGGGGTGTCAAGCTCCACCTCGTATAATAGAAAATTAGTTTTTATGATTTACAAAATAATTTAATAATAGAACCAAGAAATTAAAGGATACTTGTATAATGACTACGTACAGGATTTAATAATAACTATAGTGGGCCATAGCTCTGCGTAAGTGATTCATTCCTGGACAACCTCTTATTGTACTGACTTGAGTTTGGGGAAAAACAAAGTCGACTGGATTCAGGAAATTTGAGTTATTTTCCAGACATTTCCAAATGCCCACTTTTTCTCATTACCAGTAAACACCCAGTTCACCATTATCACTAAATATTCATACCACTTTCTATATTCAAATGCAGTTTTGTTTATATTAAAGTGCAGAATGCTTCAGAAGAGCCATTATGCAAGAATGAAATAAAAAAATGCATTAAACAAGATGTTTGTGAGGAGTCAAAGGGCTATATTTAGACATCATGCTCCAAAACAATGTCTTGGACACAATAATTTTGTGCATTGTCACATTCTGGCACTCATACTCTCATGCAGGTCAAATTTTGGTGTTAAAAGTCGATTCACGATCTCCAAATGCCGTAATATGAACTTGCACAGAACAAGAGTCAGCTGTACAGGCAGCTATCAATATATGCTGTACATTACACATAGAAATCACAATAGTGGGATGCATCAAATTAACAAATCCACAAGGGCAATTCTTTTAACCATGTCGTAGCTCAGTCGATTGAGACAATATCTGGGATCCTCTCGGACGTAGGTTCGAACCCTCGTCACGGCCCTTGTGGATTTGTTCACATGCTGTACTTTATTGGAGAGTATGGCTTCATCAGTATGTGGCTACAGTAATGACTTGTATATAATGTTTCAAAGTGTGTGTGTGTGTTTATTAAAATGTCATATAAGTTTAGTGGGGGTTATTAGATGACCTGTGGGTTTCTAATGCTTTGTCAATATAGTAATGTCGGACTGTCATACAAGCCGTATTTCTTGTTTTACAAACGTTTTGGATTATATTTTTGAAACATTGCACCTCCCAAGTATTCTGGACTTTATTAGTTGATGTTTTTGTGACTGGAAAGTGAAGGTAGTAATATATATTTATTTAAGTAGGTGTTATATTGAGCAAGTAGTGATCTTCTGGAATGAAGAATGAATGTAACTAATTTCTGGGAGGGACACCTGTGGCTCCCCATGCTTAATCCATACCACCAAGCTTTAGTCCAGCACACCAGTGGGCCAGATTCACGAAGCAGTTACGCAAGCACTTACGAACCTGTACATCTTTTCTCAATCTTTGGCAGCTTTGTTTACAATTATTAAACAGATGATGAGCTCCAAAGCACCAGGAGGCTGTTTATAACAATAACAACAGTTGACTGGGAAGTTTTCGTGCTTGTAAACTGTTTAATAAATGTAACCAAAGCCATCAAAGATTTAGGAAAGATGCACACATTCGTAAGTACTTGCGTAACTGCTTCGTGAATCTGGCCCCAGGTCTTTGAGACCTACCCATCACATAAGACCATTCAAGTCTTATCCCACCCATTCAAGACCAGAATCTGGCTTAATCTATGAGAGAAAAGAAGCTGGGAATTGTAGCTCAACCACATAGTGGGAAAATCCACCAAAAAGCCTACGAACAACAATACAGATGATTGCTCAAAGGAAGTTAGTCAGATCTTATTAAACAAGGCAAACAGTATGCAGATGATGAGTGACAATAATGTGGCTGAAGAGATGATGACCAAATCACTCGCCAGAAAATTAAGAAATGACTATGTTTTGGTCCATTCTGGATCGTTATCAAGTCGACTTGATATTGGCTTTAGTACAAGAGAGCCGTACTTACTAATACCGGTTGTTCACACGTGACCTTGAGACGATGTTCTTACCTTGAGCTACAAACACAATTCCAACCCTGACCACTTCTCCCACTGTTCTGTCCTCTGGATGTCATCTCTCCAATCCAGCTGAACTTGAGGTCTTCTGCTTGCTTTTGATGTTCAAGGATTAATCCTGTGGATTATCATGATGGCATAGTATCTAACAACCTTGTGATCACGTCACCATTGACCAGAGTTTACCTGTCCCCTGGTTAACGTCTTCAGAGGTGTGAATTTCCCATTGTCTTGTGCCGACAGTCTGGCACTGTGTCCCTATGGCTGATCTGCTGTTCATGTTGTTCATGTTGTACGGCTCTCTTGTTACAAGGGAGGGAGGGACTCGTCAGGGAGGGGAAGTGGTTGGCTGAGACCTCGGGTGACATGAGCTGCCATTTGGTGGCTGTTGGGCACAAGTCAAACAATAATTGCAATGATTGTTTGCCTTGTTTACTTAGAAATGACTAATTTCCTTCAAGCATTCCTTTGTTGTCAAAATACAGTACCACAGTTGTTGTTGTTGATCTTAGGTCTCATGCTCCCCTCACCTTGCAGGGTGACCTAAAATCTGGTTCTGGCTCTGTAGGCAGTGAATTGCCCTTAGAAATTGAAATTGAAATTGAAATAAGTTTATTAATGTAAAATACACACAAAGGGATGAGGTAGCTCAAGCTATTCTCACCCCGTTCAGTACATCGTGTTAATACATACATATACACACATCACAAACAATAAACATATTGCCAAACATTCTGAGAGATAATCATATACATTTCCTTGCTCTTAGAGGCCTGGTGTGTTGGCTTTGTTTTGGTGGTGTGAGTTAAGCTTAAGGAGCCACTGGGGGCCAGCCCCCCAAAAATAATATCAATATATATTCAATGCTTAATTTTTTTTGCATATACAGTACTGTATTTTAAAGGTTGATTTGTGCTTTTTACACTTTACACTGGTTTGACAGGAATGTACCACAAGCACAGATTAAGGGCTGGCTGTAAAATAAATTTAGTAAACATTGATAAATTTACCTAAATACTTCGTTACTAACATCCTATTAAGGTATTGTACTGGCTCGTGGATAATAAATCACTCTTTATGACATTTTATGTACTAAAAATACCCTTTTTGGTTCAGAATTATTAAACAAGCAGAAAAATAATGATTACTATTTTTTTTTTTTATTATCTGTATGAAATTTGTGAATTATAATAAACTAATTTATCTGAAGTTACCTGTTTGACTGGCATACATAATTGATAATTTCTGAAATTCTACACTGTACTTGCTGCTGTGTGCTATTTAACATTTTGTTTGCTCACTCATTAACATTTTTGTGTTTGAGGGATTGCGTTTTCTCTGCCGAAATGATCTACCCTTTATGGTCTTTCATCTATGTATAAAAAATAAACACTTATCTTGGTTAAAAATGTTCAGATATATACGGTCATTAGTAGAGTACAAAACAATTAAAAAAAAGTGTTGACCAGACCACACACTAGAAGGTGAAGGGACGACGACGTTTTGTCGTCCCGACGATGACATTCGACCCGAATGACGACGGCGTTCACAATCGACTTGAGAATGGTCCAGGACGGACCGAAACGTCGTCGTCCCTTCACCTAATAGTGTGTGGTTTGGTCAACATAATTTAGCCACGTTATTGTGACTCCTCGTCTGCAAAAAAAAGTGTTGGTTATGGGATTTGCTGTTGAATTTATAAGGTAACAAACATTTCCATTTTGTGCTACTCTTTATGCTCAGAAAGATTTGTATATACTGTATATATATTTATTATATGTTTGTGTATTAGCAGGTTTTCATTGAATGACTGCATTTTCCATATTGATTATTTTCTTGTTTAGAGCTTCTATCCCTCTAAGTGCTCTTGCATCTTGACTTAATTGAAAGAGGATTTCTCCGAATGTCATCTTTGTCCAAGGTTGACGAAAAGAGCAAAAATTAACTGTATAATGTATTTATACTTATTATAATTTACACATTTCAAACCTACACGGTTCATTCTCAAGTAAGGAATGACAAGATATGTGGAGGTTCTAATGTATAACACTGGGAGGTTAGGTACATGCAAAATTAAGTACATCTGTAAAGGATAATGAGAATTCAGGTGACCTGAATTCAGGGCATGGGATTTTGGGGAGTGACGTCATCACTGGTTTATTCGTGTTCTGGTCTTGCTCTTGCTCTCATGGTGGGCAGAGTGAATAATTCTATTATTAGAGTGTTTACTCTATGTTTATTCTATTTGTGTTTATTTTATTATTTATAGAGGTTCTACTTTTATGAGTAGGGCTTCAAGAATTTGTAATCTAAAATCTTGTGCTTTATCTAATATTCAGGTGTTTTATTCAACAGTTCTCCTGTTAGGGTGATGTCATGGTCTTTTCCCATGTGATCTTTTGGGGCTCTTGATTGAAGATGACAGGTTAAATGCCTTGTGAGCATGGTCGATGGCATTCCTATGTACTTAGATTGAAGGTTACATCCTTAATGGGGGCAGGTGTACATATACACCATGTTCGACTGCTGCAACAAGGTCTTGGCTGACATCGGGCTCTTTTTAATGAGGCCAGGGGTTCTTCCTCTTTGTTTTATTAGTAAAAATAAGTTCCGTGGAATGCCAGAGCTGGTAACATTGTTGGGGCTGTGGGAGGTAAGGTGTGGCCGGCGCTGGCAACAGTGAGAAGGATGTGTGAAGTGTATATGATGATGTCTGCGTTTTGGTTAGGAGTTGAGCTTTTTACTCCTCTATGGATTATTTCTTAAATTATTTTTCCTCTTTCCTGTAATCACTGTGCATGGTGGATTTGTAATATAATTTTAGTGGAGGTATTGTACTTTGTTCTCGGTTCAGGATTATACCATCGGTCCTATTATCGTCTTTTAGTGGTGTTGATCTTGTGGTTACTGTAGCCATTGTTCACCAGTACTTGTGTTATCCTTTCAGACTTCCTGCTTTGAGTGAATGCCCTCAAAGAAATAAAACCAGTGTTCTCAATGCTTATATGCGTCGAGCCCTTACCCATTGGTCTGAATGGAGCAACGTGATTAGGGAGTTTGAAAGGATAACACAAGTGCTGTTCTGGTGAACAATGGATACAGTAGCCATGAGATCAGTACCACTGCAAGGCTTTTTAATGTAGCAAAGTGGTTTATTACTTGTACAGTACATTAAAATCCTTCATTTCTGATGTTATATTTTCAATCGATATCATTACTAGTGCAGTCTCTCATTGGCCATACTGCGTACTGCATATGGCCAATGGTACTGCGCTATAAAGGTTAGATACTCTGCAAAATTGAAAAGCGCCTTTCTGTTTTTGACATTGTCATTGGAATTATTAACATTTTCAGTAGCTTCACAGTTTCTGAAAATGTTGGTGGTATATGATTGTCGTTCATAATCTCCGACAGGTCAGTGAGGTTTTCTGATTTACACAGATCATCTCTTGTGTACAGTACAGAATGTTTGGATCTCAATTTGTCTTTTTCAAGCATGGGATAGGCTGCAACTGCTTGTACAAGTGCATTACTAGGGAAGTCTTTTGTGTACACTGGAATTTTATTCACTAAAAAGTACCTTGCTAGCTTCCAAATGTCTAGTGAACATGAACCTAGTTCTTGTGTGATAAAATACCTGAGATTGATTAAGATATTATAAATTAAAAAAATTAAGCAAATGCAAAATTGCAATTAGCATGCAGTGCAACAAAAATGAGGCCTTAGCCGTCACAATTAGTCCAGCAAAAATTCTTCTTGATTTCCTGGAAGATGTCAGTGGACTGTAGTTGATCAGATACTGTACTACTTCTTAAGGATGAACTAGGTTGCAGACGAGGAGTCACAATAACGTGGCTAAAATATGTTGACCATACCACACACTAGAAAGTGAAGGGACGAAACGTCGTTGTCCCTTCACTTTCTAGTGTGTGGTTTGGTCAACATATACTAGGTTATTGATAGTAGAAACAGCATTTACCTTTTGGTATTTATCCACATCAGTGTACATAGTACTTAAGAATTAAACTTTAAATTGACCAGACGACCACACTAGAAGGTGAAGGGATAAGGACGTTTCGGTCCGTCCTGGACCATTCCCAAGTCGATTGTCGACTTGAGAATGGTCCAGGACAGACCGAAACGTCGTCGTCCCTTCACCTTCCAGTGTGTGGTCTGGTCAACTTACTTTAGCC